TTTACTACCTAATCTTAAAATGACTGTCCAGTACAGAAATGAAGCCCAACAATCATGTTTTTACAGTCCTGTGGTCTCAGTCTCAGATACTTATCAAATCACACAAAGCTCATGTTGACACAAACAAACAAATGAACAAAAGATTTTCTCCTTCATTTCTGTCAAACAATGCTGTTAGAAATGTTTCCAGTGGTTAGTATCATGGTTGCTGGGCAACCTGGGCAGCGCGACGGAGGCTGGACTGTCCCATTTCACAGGCCTCGCACTTCCGGCCTTAGGGGTCTTTGAGTACGCAGCCCTTGTGGACCATTAAGGCTGCGTACTTTAAGGCTGCAGACCCTGAATTGGGATACAGCCACAGAGTGGCATGTGCTGCCAACCCCTGTTCCCAACCCCTGTTTTAATTGAGGAGTGTGTGTGGAAGTGAGGGGAAATCATCTTGCAGGTTTGTGATGGTCTTTAGAATTGCATACACCTGATCTGTCTTAGGCCATTTGTACCTTGCTCAGTTTTTATATTTGCTTTTATACTTTTATGACTGTTTATGTCTAAATGTTATCTTACCATGTCTGCTATCTATACATTTTTCTTATGTTTTTAATGGTATTGTTTATGTGTTACTGTAAGGTGACCTTGAGGGTCTGAAAGGCACCTATAAATAAAATGTATTATTATTATTATTAGTTCCTAAGGAAATTATGTGGGTTACAGTTGCTCCAAGACAGCAAAAGTAACAGACTAAACTATTTAAACAATACAATATGTTACAATTTTTAGAAATAGCAATAATATATACATACATTTTGGGATGAATATACTGTGTGGCATTATTAGTATGAGGTAATTTTTCCATTTCTGGGCTTACTGCTTTCCATAATATTTAATTTTATATTATAGATTTTATTATCAAAGGAATATAAATGGATGAGGTCAATGACACAATCTATAAGGCTGAAATCTTTATAAACATGCACATTTTTATTCCATTGCAACATCAGATCAATATCACCCCTGAGCCTGGGCATTAGAATAGAATAGAATAGAATAGAATAGAAT